AAAGGTCAAAAAGTGTGAAACTAATTGAAAAGTAATTATTTTGTTGTATGAATTGTACGGATGGCTGGGAATTGTGCACAACTGATGTCTGATTAACTAAACATTAAGTCTAATCTCCATTACATCTTTCGTGTTAACGCTTTAGTTTTCATTATTGCATTTAATTAGTTGTTCATTAGTTGTTAGGCATTTAATTTCTAAACATTTATTTCTTACTTTATGTGACATTAATTTAGTGAGACTTGAAATGAACTCTCGTTTGAAATTTAAGAGAATTAAATGATTAATTGCAAAGAATTACAAACATTTTTCTTCACTATTAAAAAGCAAGCAATGCATGACTTATTTAGAAAATTGCTATTTTAAGAGAATTTGCTTTTAATACAAAATGCAAACTTAATTATCAAATAATTGAAATACCTTTTGCAAGATATTATCATTGGGTACGTCCACCACTCCGACTTCCGATGCCATTATGACGTAGCCATCAAGAGTGTGATAATATCTCGACGGTCTCAACCCGTTTCTGTCCAGAATAGCGCCAATATATCGGCCATCAGTGAAGGTGAGGAGTGCGGGTCCGTCCCAGGGCTCCATTGCACAGCCCGACCACTGATAGAATAGTTTTTTGTCGGCATTCATGAGGGGGTCATTTTGCCAGGCCTCGGGCACCATCGTCATCACGGCTTCTGGCAGAGACCGACCGCCGGCATTCACCAGGAATTCCAGCACATTGTCGACGGATCCGGAATCAGACATATCGGCCTCAACCACGGGATACAGTTTAGACAAGTCTTTGCCAAACTTTTGACTCTTCATAACGCCCTCTCGAGCGCGCATTAGGTTTACATTCCCTCTCAATGTATTGATCTCTCCGTTATGTGCTAAGTATCTCAAGGGATGGGCCCTTTCCCAGGAGGGGTAGGTGTTGGTGGAGAATCGAGCATGCACCAAGGCCAAATAGCTCTCGAACGTCTGCTCCTGGAGATCGATGAAGTATTGCCAGAGTTGTGGTGGAGTGAATTGACCCTATTGTTACACACAGAATAACCATACGATCACGTTTAGTAAAGTCAATACTCGTCGTTCAATAATAGTGGTCAACAAAATATGAGAAATAAAAAAATGTGTGTAAAAACTTATTTGGGAACAAACTTTTGTGACACATCTTCTGTTGGCAATCCCCGCAAACAGTCACTACAGGAATCACTTTATTGTCAAACACATGATACAACTCTCTCACAACACAGGAATATCCCATAAACTCTTCAAAAGGGAATCCCTATGGAAAACACAATTATCCACATATTGTCTGCACATATAAATGGCCAAAAATATATAATAATTTATTTAAAAAATTATTATTTTTTTATTAAAGAGTGCTTTTTATTACCGAAAAAAACAAAATATTAGATTTCCTTTTCAAATGTTTATTTAAATAAAAGGATTTTTATTGAATGAGAAATGAATTTTCAAAGAATGGCATTGTTTTGAAACAAATGAAAAAACGGGAAATTTTATGTCAGAAATATTTTGTGCATAAAAATTGGTTTCGTTTTTGTAAACAAGTGATAGGATTTGAATGAATAATATTAAATCATAAATAAAAAGAAGATTATTATCGTCTATAAGAAAATGTTAAGGTTTTATGAATAAAAGCATTAAACGGTAATAGGATTTTGGAAATGATTAGCTTTTGCATCAAAAGTGTGAGGAAATGGATGAGAAGGCTTAGGAAGTGAGTGTAACTATATTACAAACCTTATGCAAACATTGAGAAAAAATAAACTTAAAACAATGATTAACTCACTTTATAGACAATGGTATCGGTAGAGAGACTACATATATAGAAACGGAATCCTTCTTCTAGTATCCGATGTGTCGATGATTTTCGTAACACAAATACCTAATGAAGAAGAAAAATGTGGTCAATGTTTATGATATCATAAATAATAATTATAAACAAATAATAATAATATAAATACGGTTTTGCTATTATAAATATAAAACACATTTTAATATTATATGCGATTATGTAACTCATTAATAATGTATTTAATATAATATACTAATAATGTATACCTGTATATGCTTTATATAATCACAGAATTTTTCAATTATAATATTAATTTTGTTTTGTGAGAATAATTAATCTAATGAAAAAATATGTGGGATTACACAGACTTAACGTATAATTATTTTTGCAAAATCATAATATTATATAATTCTGTGATTATTTTATATTTTGTATATATAATGAAAGAATTCAATCTTTTAATTATATTCTGAAAGGAGTGCTTATCTAATGTTTTATGTAATTTTAGATATTATTTAGCAATGAATTCAACCAATAATTTAGTTATTCTACAGAATATTAATAGTAATATATTCTTTAATAATATAACTTAAATTAAATGTCAAAAGTAAATGAATTTCATTTTATTTGTTTCGCAATATTTCTTGAATTCGCAGATAATTAAATTTAAAATAAATGGTCAGTAAATCCACAACAATAATAATAACAACGATTGAATCATTTAATGACTAAAATAAAAATAAAATTTGGGAAAATAGTNAGATGTAATGGAGATTAGACTTAATGTTTAGTTAATCAGACATCAGTTGTGCACAATTCCCAGCCATCCGTACAATTCATACAACAAAATAATTACTTTTCAATTAGTTTCACACTTTTTGACCTTTCAATTGGACGCCTGTATTGAAAGCATAGAATATTCTGTAATTAAAAAGTTGTATCAATATTAGGGTCGTCTCCGTCCCGGAAGAATGCTTTTAATCGACACTAAGGAGAAAGTGTTTGCCAGAGATGAAGAACTCAAACTGACGATTGCCCGCAAACGTCCGCTCGAGAGTTGGCTTAAAGAGTTGATTACGTTGGAAGACCTGAGGGGCGCCCACTTGACTGCACTCAAGGAGTTTAGACGACGTGCTGTCCTAATGGAGGGCCGCAGCGAAGAGGACGTTCACGGGAGGGCCAAAGTGCTGGAGGACAGGCGTCTGGCGCTCTTTGCTTACACCACCGAAACTATTAATTTACTGATTCTGCCAATGGTTAAGACCGAGTCAGTAGTGATTTGTCTCATATATTATCTGCAAAATTGTGAACAAATTAATTAAAATGATTGCAATTGTTGTATAGGAAAGAGGCGTTGGGTTCGATGGGAAACGACTCCCCACTGGCCTGTCTCTCATTATGTCAACCATTAATTTACGACTACTTTAAGCAACTGTTCGCTCAGGTGACTAACCCTCCCATCGACCCCTTCCGGGAGAAGGTAGTCATGTCTCTCGCCTGTCCGGTCGGACCCGAAGCTAATATTCTGGAGTCATCGGCCGCGCAGTGTCGGCGCCTATGGCTCGAACAGCCCGTCCTTTCCATCAACGACTTAGAGATAATCAAAGAAACGAAATATAAGGGTTGGAAAACCAAAACAATTGATTGCGTTTTCCCCATACATGAGGGAAAATCGGGACTTTTAACAGCTTTGGACCGCATTTGCGCCGAAGCCTGCGATGCGGCCAAACAGGGCTACACTTTGGTCGTGTTGAGCGACCGAAAAGCCGGCTCTAAGTTTGTTCCCGTCAGGTATTCTACATCTAATATCAATTCAAAAACAATAAAATTAATTCTGTTGACAATTAATGTTTATTATCAGCGCATTATTGGCGTTGGGAGCGACCCATCACTTTCTAATCAATGCCAGACAGCGTATGAAAGTGGGTCTCATTCTGGAGACGGCAGAAGCCCGTGAAGTGCATCACATGTGTGTACTGTTGGGCTACGGGGCCGACGCTATTTGTCCGTATCTGGTCTTTGAGACAATGGCCGCCCTTCGAGAGGAAGGTTTGCTGCAATTGAGTGACTCTCAGATGTATAGCAATTATGTGGCGGCAATGGAGAGAGGGATCTCGAAAGTGATGGCAAAGATGGGTATCTCAACCCTCCACTCCTATAAAGGCGCACAAATCTTCGAAGCGGTCGGACTCGGAGAGGAAGTGATTGACAAATGTTTCAAAAACACGGCTTCACGTCTGGGAGGCGCCAACTTCGAGGTGTTGGCCAACGAGGCCTTAGAGCGACACAAAATCGCTTTCCATCCCAAGTATTTTTTGGATTCTCTGATTCTGAGAAATCCGGGTTTCTATCACTGGAGGGCTGGCGGCGAAAAGCACATCAACGACCCGCTGGCCATCGCCAACCTTCAAGACGCGGCGGTCGCCAACTCTGCCAACGCATACAAACAGTTCGTCGATATAACCAACAGAGCGGTCAAAGACTGCGCTCTGAGGGGTCAACTGGAACTGATCTATTCACCCAGGCCCATTCTGGTCGCCGATGTCGAACCAGCCGTCAATATTGTCAAACGCTTCGTAACGGGTTTGTTATTTGAAACCAATTATACATTACATTACTTTTGATTAATGATACTTCATATCATACCTCAGGTGCCATGTCTTTCGGATCGATATCATTTGAAGCGCACACCACTTTGGCTAAGGCTATGAATAGAGTCGGCGGCAAATCAAACACCGGTGAAGGCGGTGAAGACGCCGAGCGGTGGACTGTCAGGGATCCGCTCAATAACCAGAGATCTGCTATAAAACAGGTGGCGAGCGGTCGGTTTGGCGTTACGGCCGCCTATTTGGCCAACGCTGACGAACTGCAGATCAAGATGGCTCAGGGGGCCAAACCCGGTGAGGGCGGCGAACTGCCCGGACATAAGGTGTCCGTAGAGATCGCCAAAACACGTCATTCCGTTCCCGGCGTTGGTCTCATATCTCCGCCGCCACACCACGACATCTACTCTATTGAAGACTTGGCTGAACTCATCTATGATCTCAAGTGTTCGAACCCGAAGGCCAGGGTTTCAGTCAAACTGGTCTCCGAAGTCGGTGTCGGTATTGTTGCCGCGGGTGTTGCGAAGGGAAAGGCAGAGCACATCACTATTTCTGGTCACGACGGCGGGACCGGCGCTTCTTCTTGGACTGGCATTAAGGGAGCGGGACTTCCCTGGGAATTGGGTATTTCAGAGACGCATCAGTTTCTAGTGGCCAATGATTTGCGTTCAAGAGTTGTCCTCCAATGCGACGGACAGATAAGGACTGCTTTCGATGTATTGGTGGCCGCAATGCTCGGCGCCGATGAGTTTGGCTTTTCGACGGCACCTCTGATAGTGTTGGGCTGTATAATGATGAGGAAGTGTCACCTCAACACATGTCCAGTCGGTGTCGCCACTCAAGACCCAGAGCTGAGGAAGAAATTTGAGGGAAAACCAGAATATTTAGTGAACTATTTATTCCTATTGGCGGAAGAGATTCGACAAGAGATGGCAAGACTTGGAATCAGAAAATTCCAGAATTTGATTGGAAGGACAGAACTCTTGCGATTCAAACCCGACGCCCAGAATCCGAAGGCCGGTCTTCTGGACTACACAATGATTTTATGTAACGCTTTGTCTCTAAGACCCGAAACCAATATCATCGGCGGATCTGTTGCTCAAGACTTCCAATTGGAGAACAGATTAGACAATAAAATAATTTCGGCGGCGAAAGAGATTTTGGACGGAGACTCACAGAACTCAATAGAAATGTCGTTTTTCATCACAAACACCGATCGGGCGTTTGGGGCGACTCTTAGCTATTATATCGCATCCAAGTTTGGAGAGAAGGGTCTCGACAAAGATCTCATCAAAATTAATTTACAGGGATCTGCCGGACAGTCATTCTGTCTCTTCTTAGCGAAGGGAGTGGTCGTCGAACTGGAGGGCGATTCCAACGATTACGTGGGAAAAGGTCTGTCCGGAGGCGAAGTGATTGTATATCCGCCCAAAGATATGCCCAAAGAGTTTAAATCGGAAGACAATATAATTGTCGGCAATGTCTGCCTATACGGCGCCACTTCTGGTAAGGCATTCATCAGAGGCGTCGCCGCCGAAAGATTTTGTGTCCGAAATTCTGGCGCAATTGCAGTGATAGAGGGTGTGGGCGATCACGGGTGCGAATACATGACCGGTGGTGTTGTCATCATTCTGGGGACCACTGGCAGGAACTTTGCCGCCGGAATGTCCGGTGGAATCGCTTACGTCTATGACATGTAAATTATTTCAATGACATTTGTTTTAATTTTGAATTTTAAATAATTTTTATCAATTCATGATTTAAGTGACGGACGGTTTGACTCCAAATGCAACCACGAAATGGTCGAACTGTTGCCGTTGGAGATTCCCGAAGACATCGCTTTCTTTAAAGATTTACTGAAAGAATTTCATGAGAAGACGGGATCAGAAGTGGCCGAAGAGATACTCAACAATTTCGATACATTGAGACAAAAGATTGTGAAAGTGTTTCCCATTGAATATCAAAGAGCTCTCAAACAGATGGCCGAAGAATCCAATGTAAAGGAGACAGTAGTGGAGGAGAAAGCGGTACAAAAGGTGAATGATATCGAAGACTCGATTCCCGATCAAACAAAACTCGATAAAATGAGAGGTTTTATGAAATATAAGCGAATTAAAGGCTATTATAGAGATGTTGGCAAACGATCGAAGGACTGGAATGAGATCTTTGACCATAAATTTATCAAAGATAACGTGCGAACACAAGCCGCGAGGTCTGTCCACTCATTCATAACATATTCATACTCAATAAATACATGAATTAACTTTAAAACATTGAATTTATTGAATGTGCAGATGTATGGAGTGTGGAGTTCCGTTCTGTCAGTCATCGCACGGCTGTCCACTCGGAAACATAATCCCGCGTTGGAATGATCTCGTCTATCAGGACGACTGGTATGAGGCTATGAAACAACTGCTTCAGACTAACAACTTTCCTGAGTTTACGGGACGTGTCTGTCCGGCTCCCTGTGAAGGCGCCTGTGTTTTGGGCATTAATGCTCCGGCGGTTGCCATCAAAACCATTGAGGTGTCAATCATTGAGACCGCCTTTGAAAAGGGTTGGATTAAGGCGTCGCCGCCTAAGATAAGGACCGGTAAGAAGATTGCGGTAATCGGTTCGGGACCGTCCGGTTTGGCCTGCGCTGATCAGCTCAACAAAAGCGGACATTCGGTGACTGTGTTCGAGAGGAATGACAGAATTGGAGGTCTTCTTCAGTACGGAATCCCGACAATGAAATTATCGAAAAAAGTAGTTCAAAGACGCGTTGATTTGATGTCCGAAGAAGGCATTGAATTTAAGACGAGTATAAATGTTGGCAAAGATATTACTGGCGACGAACTGTTGAAGGAATTCAACGCTGTCTGCCTGACCACAGGCGCCACGTGGCCCCGGGATCTGCCCATTCCTGGCCGTCAACTCAACGGCATTTACTTTGCGATGACTTTTCTCGAGTCGTCGCAGAAACAGCTCTGGAATTCAAATAACAATTTCCTTCATTTGACGGCTAAAGACAAACGAGTGATTGTTGTCGGCGGAGGCGATACTGGATGTGATTGTATCGGCACTTCTCTCAGACAAGTAATTCATTCAATTTGTTTTGTTTTTGTCATTGAATTGTGTTTTAATAATTGTATTTAATATAAAGGGCGCGAAGAGTATCGTGTCGTTTGAGATCCTTCCGCGTCCGTCGGACACTAGAGATGAGTCCAATCCATGGCCTCAATGGCCGCGAATCTATCGAAAAGATTACGGACACGAAGAGGTGGAACTGAAATGGGGATCAGATCCCAGAATATTCGGGATAAACAGCAAAGAATTCCTCGACGACGGCAACGGAAACGTTACGGGAATTCGTTCCGTAAAAGTCGAGTGGACTCAAGACAACGGCCGATGGAATATGAAAGAAGTTCCCAATTCTGAAGAGATATACGAGGTTTGTATATACAGTATATGAATGCATGAATAAAATGCTAATTTCAATGTTAACGATACCAAAGGCTGATCTGATCTTACTTGCGATGGGATTTCTGGGACCCGAGACTTATTTGACGGAACAGTTAAGACTGACGAAAGACCAGCGCTCCAACATATTGACCAAATCGGGCACTTATAGGACACCGATTCCCCGCATATACGCTGCGGGCGATTGTCGTCGCGGACAGTCACTAGTGGTTCACGCCATCAATGAGGGCAGACAAGCGGCCCGAGAGATCGACACTGACTTCCACAACGGTCTGTCCACACTTCCGGGTCCGGGAGGTGTCATACCGTACCCGCCTATTGGCACTAAACTAGTGGCCGGTTAATAGGTCTTCACTGAATACATGATCTGTCATATGATTCCTTCATTGAATATATAAATATATATAGAGTTAAGTGAATTCATGAGACAATTAAATGTTTAATTTGTATTAAATGTAAATCTGGTCTAAATATGAATATTAGTGTCCAATCATTGAAACTTTTTAGCCTTTATTTGCTGTTAAACATTGAAAAATAGACTATCAAATGATAATACAATGAATTAAATTAACAATAATTAAGTGCTTTTAATGATAAGCAAAACAAGTGAAACGAAAGTCAATCACTTATAACGATATAATTGTAGTATAATTTTTATTTTTCATTTTGTTTTTAGAGTTTTAAATATTAATTGAATTTAACTAAACATTGGGTGATATTATAAATCTCATACTTATTTAAAGAATATGACATATTTTAGACGTTTTTAATTAATTTCGTAAACAATTAAATAGTTTATTATTATTATTACTTTATATTTTAAAAGTCGAAATGAGAGAAAAAATAAACCATGAACATTTTAATTGATTATGAACTTATTTTTTTATAAATTTAACTTAATATTGGAAACGAGAAAAATAAAGTTTGTGTCCATTTTATTGATGTTTAAAAATAAAATTCAATTTAACATAATTTAATTTATATAATGATTATATTATTATAATTATTATTATATATTTTAAAAGCTAATAATTATTGACAAAGTCTTCCATTTATTAATACATGAAATGAATTTCAAAACTAAATATTTATCTGAATTTACGAATCGATTGATAAATGTGTTAATGATTTGCACTCTTTTTATTTGTTTAGATTTTTGTTAAATTGTTTTTAATTATGCTTTTTTAAAATTCTGTAATTCATTGTAAAATATATTTAATCATGATTTTAAACACACTTTTTCTAGATTTCATTATTTGTTTTTGTATTCAATTTTTAATTAAAGAATTAGTGATTTTTATGTGACTTTTGATTTTGTCGTTTCCTTTTCACGGATTCTGTCTATAATTAATCATAAATTAATCCCAAAAAAATGTTTATTTAATCGATTTTTTGAGAAACGATAAAATGTAAGTTAAAATCCATTACTTGTATGGAAATCAATACTTGTGTTACAAAGTATTAATTGATGTAATGTTTCAACAAATAATCACATAAAATGAATCAATAAAATACAACTATAATCAATCAAATTGTGTGTTCATTAAAATTATTAAACTATTAAAATGCTTAAAAATAGCTCACAAATTAACCATGTTTTGTATGTAATTAATATTGAACTTACATTAAATTGTTTTTGGCATCAAATATAACAATAATTGACCAAAAATATGATTGAACTGAATTCACTGATATTACATGCAAAACACGGATATATTTTACAATTTTGATTACAGTTACTGTTATATGAATTGTTTATTTAACAAACGCTTTGACAACAATTATGACAATTAAATTCACTCAACATTTCACATAACACTAACACATAATCAAATTCACGAGATTTCTTACATTTAAATCATATTTAATTTCAAATATAGTACAAAAACCAAATTTTATTTTCATAAACTCTTCAACAACTTTGATCTCAATTATGTCTGAATTAACCGAAAGAATAATAGAAGACATCGAAAGAGTGGACACATCGGACGATACGTCCGAAGGGGAGTCAGAGAGTGAATCGGTGGCCGAGAGTCTGACGAGTTTCGAGCAGTTGCCCAATGCTATCAAACGGCGAGTCTTTGCGCTCAAGAAATTGCAATTTCAGAAGAATGCTATTAACGAAGCGTTTCTCCAAGACTTCCTCGAACTCCAAAAGAGCTATGAATCCAAATTCGAGCCCCTCTTTGAGAAACGCCGACAAATAGTGAGCGGAGAGTACGAGCCGTTGGACTCAGATCTGCCCGACGGCCAGTCTCTCGACGCCGATCCCAATGAGTGTAAAGGAATTGCGGGCTTTTGGCTAAAAGTACTTCTCTCGTCGCCGATGGCGAAACACATCTCCTTACCCGACGAACCCATTCTTAAGCACTTGACTGACATCAAAGTGGCCGTAAATCCAGAGGAGAGGATGTATTCGTTTGCTTTCCATTTCTCGCCAAACGATTACTTCACTAACGAAGTGCTCAAAAAAGATATCTATTTCTCGATGAATACGATGTCTGTCGACCCAATGCATGCCCGCAAATGCCAGTCGACGCCAATCCACTGGAATGAAGGCAAAGACGTAACCGTTGAGCACAGGATTTACGACTCGCGCCACAAACAAGAGAGACTCAGTGTTTACAAGAATTCATTCTTCAGATACTTCTGGTCGACACAGAATGAGCCGTTGGAGGAAACCGAAGAATTGCATCTCAAGTACGAGTGGAATCTTAGTCAGCATTTGGTCGAAGCTTTAGTCCCAAACGCTGTCCTCTTCTTTACGGGAGAAATGAGTCTCAATTCGGATCAAAATCTCTATGAAGAAGAAGAAGAGTATGAGTTCGTCAACCAATAGGCGTTCAGTTGTCGAGTAAAAAGTACAAGAATTGTTGTACTTATTGCACATTCCTTTCATTATTAAAATTCTTGTCATTTTATCAATTTATTAAATATTTAAACATTTATTTTATTTATTTGCAAATATTTTATTTAAATAGTTATCTCATAAATCTTAACAAAACAAATGATATTTTTAAAAATAGCGTTTAATACAAAACAATCTTATATTGAATTTTTGAGTTGATTGCGGGAAAAATAAATACTGTATTCATATTATAATCTATGAATTTGATAATAACAAATGTGTAATGAATTCAAATATATGCCGTCCACCCGACGTACATAACGCCCAAATTGTTTATATCCGTCGCTTCCTATCAAACAAACATAACACATATTTAATAAACAATATCTTCAATACAGATAACAGGTTTATACTTTGATAACTGTGTCCACCTGTCCCTCAACGGAAAGGGCGACGCCTTTGGGAAGATTACGATCATTACGGGACGGAATACCGTTAAGTCGGGCCTCAATGTTGAACACAATATTGTCGCTCTAAATGGAAACATCATTTTAGAAAATCAAACAAATAATACCAAAACAAATAATTACAATCTCGAGAGTGAATTCAGAGGACGATTGTCGGACATCGGAATTCTTTGTCGACCACTCAATCAAATGGTCAAAACGAAAAGGGCTCACAAAGTTCATGACCGCCTCCTTGTTATCTCTGGCCACTCGTAACGCGTGTTCGCAGGCCTTACGGAACGTTCCCTCGTATTCTATGACTCCCATCGCGTGAATCATATTATGCGTGAGTCTGAAGGGCACCCTCTCTGGCACCTGAAACTCCTCGCCCTTATTGAACATACAGTTGAGGTCGACGTGAACTGTTTCGCCGGTGGACTCCTCGATCATGATGTTCTCTCCGTGTCGGTCACCCAAACCCAACAGATAACCGACAATACTGTACACAGCGCTGGAACGAGTGTACGCCAGACGAGCGGCGAACCACGACAACGGGTCCGTAAAATTGCTGACAAACCAATTGCCGAATACCGAGGGCTGGAATTTGGGCAGTATTTCGGTCTGGAATTTGCGGACTCTGTCGGCCTTCGGCAGTGTATGTAACGGATAATTCTTGATTAGCAAGTCTTTGGTCGAGTCATAATCGTATTCTTTGAGCCTATACTGGCCCTCGACTATGGATCGGAACGGCGCTAATCCCGGTATCCATTCGATGAGTCCGCACGTGTCGGTCAAAGAGACCACTAAATATGTTTTCACTCTTAACTGACGCTTTCGGGACTCGGCGTCGCGTTTAAAGCAACGATTCAATAGATTACAAAATTCAAGAAAACAATAGTCTTTGCGTAAGTCATCGCCGGGTTTGCAGAGAATTGTATACGTTTTGCCATCGCTTCCAACGATCGAAACCTTTTTCGGTCTTTGAAGCGAAAGTAATAATTCAATGTTATCTTCAAACTTATGGATATAAACGTCTTCAGTGGGGAACGGGTTGTAATTGGTTTCGTGAATAGATTTGGGAAGTGTTACGGAGACTAGCGATCGGAATGGAAGCAGTATTTTGCTAAAAGAGTTGGACTTTAATAGTCGATGCAATTCGGGAAAATCTCGAGAGAGTGTCATGTATTTGGTTCCGCGCGGGACTCTCTGACCACTCATCGCACCCTTTGCTGACATTGTGGTCAAAAGGTTGGAAAACTTAATGATATCGCTAACAAATTTCAATAGCGTTTGATCGGTGCCTCCTTCTGGCAACAGATAGGACTTCTCGACAATAGCGCGGAAACAGTTCCTACGGTTGGCGTTCGCCGAGTTATACGATCGCATCAATAGCCACATTGTCTGCTGTGGATAACTGGCAATCAGTTTAGAGATTATTCTCTTAAGCATTGCGCTGATCGACATGTTTGGATGCAATACACGGGCCGTCAACTGTGCGAACACTATGAAGAATATATAGAGCGGAACGTTTGCCAACAGACCTCCGATTGCATTATTAATTTTCTCAATTGTTTTGCGAATTTCTTCCGAGTATTGCTGTGTTGAAGAACCGCCTGAAATAAATGTGAGTCAGAATTACAAACATTATACAAAAATAACAACAAATGTAAACTAATTTCTAAAAACAAAATTACTTCTTGATCTTTGGTTGATTTGGTTGTGATCTGAGCCCAAATCAAACCACATGTTAAGTAGAAGTGGCAGTGAATTGTGCGCGTATTTGACGCCATATTTCAATGACTCGATGAGGGAACTGACGGCCCGGCCTTTCATCTGCAGAATCTCGTCGGCCTTTCCTAATGTGAACTTCTGGTTCTGGCGTTTGGACTCTTCGTAGTTCTTGTAAATCCTGTGGCAAAACATTCCGAGATTGTAATGGCTTTCTTCGGACTGCGGCGCCGCTATTGTGACCACTTTATACAAAATGGCTAAACTGTTTTGATTCAAGAGACCGTTTTGTTCGCAATACTTTGCGTGCAATAATTGCAATTTAGCGAACGCTTCGTCAGTGCTCTGGTCTCGAGTCGAGTCGCCACCCGTCGACGCCATCGACGACTGATAACTCGGTATCGAAGCGCTTCCGTATGACATAGAGCTTCGCAATTCAATCAACTCTTCGGTCGAAAACGAGTCGTTAAGTTTACTCACAGCTCTCTGTATGCAGAAACTGTGCGATGAGCTGTAATTCTGCTCGATTTGACTCTTCAGATATTGAATAGCACCTAAAGTTTGTAATAAATGTTAATTTACTTTTTAAAAATTAATTAAGTGTTCAAAAAACAAACCAATTTTATTCTTATTCCACTCTATTTTTGCGGTTTCGAGAATCGCTTCGCAATTCTCCAAATCAGACAACGGACTGACGGTTGACTCAAACACATCGCCAAAAGTAATGGCCATTGAATCGCGAATTTTGTTCATTTCGAGCAAAAATGTATAACTTCTTTGGATATTCCCTGATTTGCGCGAAGTCTTTGTACTCATTAGCCATGATTTGAATAATTGTTTCTTAATATCGAGTGAGAGGTTTGCACTCTCGGCTCGTTGTGCCAGAATCGAGAGCATAGCTCTCTGTGCGTTAAGTATCGGTTCCTGACATTTCACTGTCTTTCTCACCAAATCGTTTCGTTGATTCCAAATGTTAATCACTTTTGAGAATTTATCCCTCAATGTGTCGATCGGTGACACGTCTTCGTCGAGTTCTGCCATTAGTTTATTGTAAACCAATTGAATGTCATTCAAAATGTGCAGATTTACGATATACTCGTGTCCCCTCACATAACCGCTGATCTCAGTGGCGGCGGCCGAGAGGGGGCCGACCAGACCTCTGCGCAAATTAGTCATCTTCTCGTCAAATTCAATCTCTTTCTCATTAATTATTGTATTAAATAAGTCTCCGATTCCGGAACCAAATGTCGTCAAACACGTGGAATCGTATTGTTTAAGTATTTGATCCAATTGTGTCCAATCGCCTAACTTCCAGACGGCTTCGATCACAAACGGGGCTAAACTTCGCTGCCATTCTGGCTTTCGGGCCATAAGACCGCAGCCGTAAGTGTAAACCTGTTCCGATTGATCGAAGTTTTCCATCGAATTCTGTAAATACTTTTGTTGGAGTTTAAGATCACTCGGATTGTGTTCGACGGCTTTCGCGCAACACAGCATCGCCTCCTGGATCTGTCCCATCGCTTCGTGGGTCAGAATTCGTTCGTTGATATTCGGTCTCCCGATTCGCTTCGAATTGCATCCGACCACCGAATCGGGTTCATCCAGACGTAAGAATATCTCCTGAAACATAGGAATCGCCTCTTGAAACACCATTTCATCTGTTTTCACGTATTCCTCGAGATATCGCAAAGAGCGCGAATACGCGTTGCATTTAAACGCCAGATCTGACAGATCTTTAGTCGATATGTTGTTCAAGAAGTACTCAACGCCTCTGAACTCGCGGTCTTTCAATCGGGCGGTCTTTAGATGTCTTGGCGTCGAACAAACTCTTTTGTGCAAAAGTACCCGCTTTTTGTGCCAAACCTTTAAGTAGTCGTAAATGTGAAACACTGTTTGTGAGCTCAAGTGTCCGATCTCTCCCTCAAGCATCAGATCGTTGCTGTCCTTTAGTTTAGTGATAATAGTCTTCACTTCATTCACAATATGGTTCTTTTGCTCGAGAGTTGCGTTCTTTAAGGCAGTGATCACAACATATGGTAACATAAATTGAGCCATACTTTGGTCGCGAATTAGTGACAAATACGTTACGTTCAGTAATTTAATTTTAATTGAATTACTGGTCAACGCTTTGGCCAATTCGGCCTCAAAGAGATCCGAGCGTTGAGAGCATTGGCCAGAAAACTGCGACAAATTTTCGTTGTATTGACTGTTTTCGCAGTCGTGTTCGTGATTAAAGATGAAGGCCTGGAACAGTGTTTGGAGCCATAGTTTGAGCCAATCGTTGTACTGAAGCTCCGGTTCGGAGCCAAATATCTGGCGCGTCATTGTGTCTGTAATGGGAATAGATTTGACGGTTTTGTATTTGGTTTTACACAACAGACGACAATAATCCCTGTGTTCTGTGGGCAAAGTGTCCAAATTAAAGCCATCGCTCTTCAAATCTTTGACAATCTCTTGCAATGTGAACGAAATGCAGTTTTGATCACCGGTTTTGGTGGCTGTAGTGACCGCTCGGTACAGATTTCTGATCAAAATGACCTTAAATTCGTGATCGTTTGCGTTGAGAAACTTTTCCAACTTCTCTTCCTTAGAGATAATCGGTTTTTCCAAATCGATTCTCAACGGATCGATGGCTCCCAAAACGCCCAAACACTGGGCCACCAATTGAAGCACATTCTCATCGTTAGACTTCATACACACCATTAATTTGGCGACAATTTTGTTGACAAAGTAATCGACACTTAATTCTTTCACTTTATTGCACTTCTTATAGATCAACGACTGGTGTTTCGTCAATAGCTTCAACAGTTCCCGCAGCGAAAACTCTTGGACTCGATTGTTCTCGTGGTTAATGTTATTGACAACAAATGTAATGTTCAAAAAGATGTCTTTCTCCGCATCTCTATATGTGATGTATTGCTTGAGAACATCCGTCACTTCTTTCAGTTCATTGCAGTCCGGAATGAAATACAAATGTTTGAACGCTTTCTTGAAGTTCTCATTGGTTTTGTTTCGCACAATGAGTTCCCGAAACACTTTCTTCGTCTCCTGTGGCCAGAGGTGTATGAGTGGTAAAGTGAGCGCCGATATCGTCAACAACTGGTCGGCCAAATACGACGGTTCAATCATCTGAATGTATTGCATCAACACTTCCACATTCAACTTCATCTGCGGTTTATTCGTATGAAATCTTTCGCTTAATATTAATTTAATGGTCGAAAAGAGTTTCACTCGATATGTATTCAAATGGTTTTTTCCCATTATAGCCATTAGACTAATGAAACTCTGTGTGCACTTGAGTTTGTCTATTGTGGACACAGAGTTGTCCTGAATTACTAAATCAAATTTGTGTACAAACGGTAGGAAGAAGTCAACCAATACTTCCCTCAGCTCTTCCTCGTTGTCGAAGAAACGCTGCAAATCATAGTTGGAATCGCTTTGATTGCGCCGATAGTATTGAATGAATGCGATCGCCTCGAGTGTGGCCTCTCTATCGGTGGACAAATGCATGAGTGATGACTGCATCAGTTCAAAGATAGTGACATAAATGCGGGGCTTTATATCGAAATCCAATATGAGTTTCAAGAGATCGATCCGACTTTGGATCTCTTCAAACGATTTGTCGATTCTGTTGGTGGAGTAGAAGAGATACTCAATGATATCAATCAAATAGATTTTGATGATATCGCAGACAGCCTTGTCGTCGATGCGGGCGATTTCACTGACAAATTTTTCGGTCGTTTGGTTGCATTTGTGAACAAAATGCGGGACAATATGTTTGATGAGTTCGCGCGGAAGTATATTAATGCCAAACACAGACATTGTATTCTTGAGAGTGTCGCCCAAATTGTCAAAATTATCGTTAATGTCTAGCAAACGGAGAATATGTGTACTGATCTCCACTTGATATTCAATAAACAATTGCTCCAAATCTATGTTCTTCTCATGGCTAAGACATTTGACAGCTTTGGCCGCCATATGACTGGGGAAGGGGTCGCCTCCTAATGACAGGTCTACTAAAGAGACCACAAAATTACCCAAACTTTGGCGATCTGTTTGGTCGATATCAATGACTCGCTTCCATATATTGGACACATTTGTCAAACAAGCGATTAGACCTTTCCATTCATTGCTATCCACACACAAACCATTAGCGACTCGTTTGAGGACAAGTTGTGTTGTAATGGCTCCCGAAATAACGACCGCCTCCTGGAGGCCGTGAATTGTCGATACGACCACAATCATTGATCTCAACATTGTTGGTATGGTTTGATTGACCACATTATTATCATCACAATTACCATCTAATTTAGTGATTAAGCATTTGATGAGATGTTGAATGCAATTATAAAATCGGTAGTCATTGTCGTAATGAGAGGCCAAACACTTCAATTGATAGCAGACGTCGATTATCTTCTCGAAGAAGGCGCACAGATCTGTGGCCATTGTGTGCATCGTTTGTTTATCGATGGATGTCTCGTTGATGACACACAGATAGTGGTAAACGTCTTTGATCTCAAAGAACAGATCCTTTTTATCCAAGAATCCGGTCATACAATTGACGCCTTTCTTCACGGCTTTCAACGCTTTGGTGGCAATCAATCCGTTGAGCAATGTGTCCAACATTACAGTTCTCGACATCACTTGAGTGGCCTCTGCGGTCACATCAGGAGATAATACAAGAGTTCAATTGAATGAATGCAAATCACGCGTCCGTTATGTGTCTTACCAGTCGAGTTGTGCTCATCGGTGGCCATCGGAGTCGTGTCGGCGGGTGTTGTCTCCTCTGACACATCCATTTTGGTGGTCATGTCGTCACTCATGAGCTGAGATCGAGTGAAGGATAACACATCCGAAAGTGACAAACAGTGGTATTGTTTTGGACAATAAAAACAACGAAACGATTATGAAATGCACTGAAAAATAGCGCTGAAATGCCAAACACTGCACAACATTACACTTATATTGAATACAATTTGTATTCAATTGTTGTTCAATCGTTGTATTGTTATATCGTTATAAATATCAACAAATTTGTATTCAATGAAGCAATGCTTGTCTCGTATTGCCATCTATTTTAATAGTAGTTTTCCCAAAAGCTTTTTCATAACTTTTAATTTTACAGTTAATTATTTTTTAATTATAAATCACCGCTTAATCCCAATAATTAATATATTTTTCATTATAAGAGTACTAATTACCTTAATACAAAATTACTAACAACTTATAAATGTTTGTTAATTGCATTTAAGAGTTAATTGAGAATATTTTAATTAAAACATTTTGATTTTTATTTATGAATTATTTATGCTTTGAATATACAAAATTACTTTTATTTATTTATAAACCACTTTAAAGTTTAACCAAAACTTTTCCAGTATTGGCTCCGGTGTGAAGATACTACACAAATAAATTTAAAAATAATTAATATTAACCATTAATTAAGTTTAAGTTAATCGCAAACCTTAATCCCTTTGGACACGGCTTCGAGACCTTCTCCAACATTAACCCCGAAATCCACTTTAATTTCAAGTTTATTATTCTCGTAATATTGAGACAATTGTTGGGCGTATTCTTCATATTTGTCTTTGTAGTCAAATGTCAAAAAGCCGATCACTGTTTTGGCCCCGTAGTGAAGCTGTCCGAACATATAACAACGTTATTTCAAATTGTATTATAAACTTGTATTAATCATTACTTTAACAATAAAGTCGTCTATTTTGATGGGAGCGTAACCGACGGTTGTGTAGCCAGAAGTGGCGCCGATATTGATTAGTCGTCCCTTTCGGGCCAAGTGTTCAAATAGTTGTTCAAACACTGGGCTTCCGATTGTCTCCCAAACGACATCTATTCCCTCCTTTTAATCACAATTTCATCGAATTATTAAAATTTAATTAAAATTAAATTTCCAATAATACCGGATATTCTGTTTTTAAGACGTTATCCAAATTTTCCAGTTTATAATTGATAACTCGATGGCAACCGATTTGCTTAAGAAACTGTTCCTTCTTCTCATTAGATGTGGTGGCGATTACGTGACAACCTTTTAATAGCGCCCATTGAGCCGCTATATGTCCGACACCGCCGGCCGCAGCCGTTATCAACACTTTGTCCCCTTTGGCCAAACGGGCGCCTTCTGACAGACCTATCGACGCCGTCAAACCACTTGTGCCAAACAGTGCTAAATATTTGGGATCTGGTTTCGGGATGACTGTCAGCCCATCAGCAGATGTCGCGTACTTTACATTCAAATTATATGAATTATTATGTTTGCAAAACTCTTCTCAATTATTACCACATTTTCAAATTACCAGATATTCAGAATATCCCCTCAATAGCCCGCCACCACATTTCACCACAACGTGTTGGCCCACATTGTAGTTCTTCACATCGGTTCCGATTTTGACAATTTCCCCCAAAGACTAGTTTTAATCATACAATTTAGTGATAATTAGCGTAAAATTAATGTCATATATGAGCGCATACTTCAATGCCGAGAGGGTATGGCGGGTCGTCGTGTTTGAAATAGCGTCCGGCAGTGATGTTCAGATCAGTTGCATTGATTCCCACAAAAAGATTTTTTATTAAAATTTGGTCACTTTTGGGATCAACTAATGGCAGCGAAACTATTTGGACGGCTTTATCAAAGTCTGTGGAGTAGTTGAAGACTTGGATCTGTTTGTACGAACTTTTGGTAGACATGGTTCTAATGAATGGCGAATTGACACAAACTTTTGTTTTATGAATTAACGAACAAAATGTTATAATTCTTTTGCAAAACATTAATAGATAATCGAAAAAAATGATCGCTTTATATATAGTGTACAATTGATTTGTGTGAATATAAGTTCACTATAAGATAGCAAAAATAGCATGAATTGGATTATTGTAAACATTGAACACAACACTTCTAATCTAAATACAAATGTACAGCGATTCGACTCAATGAAAATGTCCTTGGCTAATTAATAATACACTATTCCCTAGATTTCGTGAATACCAATGAAATGAGTAAAATATTTGTAAAACCGGTATATTTTAAATATACTCTTTATTTAAAAATTATGACCATTGGTTCCGTATAAAAGTTTTCCAAAATGCATTCATAAAATTGAGAGCATAAAGTGTGCTAGTTTGATTTCCTAAAGTGTATAATTGGTTCTCCATCACAGAATTGTATTTCCAAAATCAATGAACAGTACTACACAAATAATATAACCATCATAAAAGTCCTTATTGATGTATTTTAACTAACTTGTAAGAACATATTTTATTATACAGTTTATTATCTATAAAATGCGAATATTATAGTGCTATTACAGTGCAAATAGAGTGCTGATCTGGTTCCATTGGGGATCAGTTTGTATTACTGTTTTCACTCTTGCAATACAGATAAGAGATATTTCATGAGAAATGCAATATTGAAAGTCCTGTAATGTACATTTTAATTAAGTGCTTAGTAAATACAAAATGCAATTAATTGACATTGATAATGATTTTATTCAATGAATAGACCATTTGCTTGTTAAACAATATTTGATATAAAGCATTCAACAGAAAAATGCAATCTTATTGATTAGTTTTGAGCGAAATAATCGAGAAAATGCTTTTGCGGTTTATTTTTCAATAGATTTCCGGATTCTGTGCCGCGAAATAAGTACTTCTTTTCTTTCATATATTTCGATAGTTTGTCGAAAGTGTGTGGACTCGGCTCCGGGAATATCATCATCTTCTTCCCTTCCTCTAAGTTCGCCTCTTTGTACGATCTTTTGGCCAACTTTTCCATTAAAAAATAAAAGCATTTGTATAGCAATACAAATACAGCCAGAAATGTAAGGATAGGTATAAAGATATAGACAACTGCTGTAATAAATGATGACAACCAGCACTGGGTGTCAATGATATGATTGTGACTTTTATCCATTGAATTCGAGTTAAACCAATTCATGTTAACTTATTGTCGATTTAAAACAATATCAGAACCATTCGTCACTTTAATAACCAATTATTTGATTCAAAACAATAATGAAAACATTACACAATTCAATGTTCAGTCATTTTCATGAAATAAATACGAATATTAAAAACATTCAAAATGAAAGTCAAATTTAATTAGTTTTACATTTCAAACTTTTTCCATATGTTTTACAAATTTGTTAATCAAAATGACAATTGGTTTCAATTGTGAATTAATTAGTGAAAAAAAGAGTACAATTCGTTTAAATATTAATAATTGGTTAGAAAATAAGCTCATATTATATTAATAATAATCGTATAATAAATTGATGTAATGTTTAAAAAAACAAATAAAAGATAAGTTTTTGAGACAAAAACAAAATAAAAATTAATAGAAATAAATTTGATTCACAATAAACTCAGTATAAAATCAATTCTATTAAAAAAGTGAAAAATAAAAATTTTGAAATAAATTTCTTTTAAATCGATTAAATAATTTGTAATTAAAATCAAAAGAATCAAAATAAAAGACAAGTAGAAAATGGCTTTCCATTTGGTTATCAGTAAATTTAACCATTGAATGGGTTATGCGATCAAATCAGACAATTAATACTGATTACGATAGTATTGCTGTTGTTGTGTCTGAGGGCTGACACGAGTTTGTCTTCCGCTTTGTAGCGAACCCTTATTGAGAGGACTATAGAGCGGAACGTTACTCACCGGCGGACAGAAATCTGTAGACATGGGTCGCGGTC